AATGTTGGCAAAGATGTGGATCAATAGAAACTCTGAAACATGGGTTGTGGGAGTGTAAATTGGTGCGACTCTTTGGCAAACCATTTGGCAATGTCTACTAAAGTTGAACATCTGTGTACCCCTGCTATACAGCAATTTCATTTCTAGGTATATACCCAACAGAAATGGGTGCACATGTACACTAAAAGATACATACAAGAACATTCTCTTGGGGCCGGCCCGGTGGCGCACTGCTACAGTGCGCCGCTTGAGAGCGCGGTGGCGCTCCCGCCGAGGGTTCGGATCCCACATACAGACCGGTTCCCGCTCACTGGCTGAGCGAGGTGTGGGAGCAACACCGAGGGTTGCGATCCCGTTGCCGGTCCCGGTCCGGTACGGGTGCGACACAGAGGGTTGTGATCCGTTGCAGGACACGAAAAAAGACAAAAAAAAAGAAGAACGTTCTCAATGGCATTGTTTGTAATTGCCTCAAATTGGAAATAATTCAAATAAATGCCTGTCTGCAATAGAATGGAAAATAGTGCTACATTAATACAATGGAATACTACACACTCACAAAAATGAATGAACCACAGCTATTAACAATGATATGAATGAATCTCACAAACACAATCTAAATGAAAAATGCCAGGCACAAAAGCATACTGTATGATCAAATCAAAACTAGGCCAAACAGTCTATGGTTTTAGAATTCAGGATAGTGATTACCTTTGGGGAAAAAAGAAAGAGGTGATTCCAAAGGAAAATAGGAAAGGTTACTGGGATGCTGGTAATATGCTCCATTTCTTGACCAAGGTAATAGTTTTATAAATATGTTCACTTTGTACATTTATATTTCGTGTTATTTTAACAAGTTAAAAACTTCCAAAACTGAATTTTGATTTCTAATGTCCTCTGTGAACCTGCTTCTTCCTTGGTATTCTCCATCTCAGTACATGGCAAATTCTTTTAAGTTGCTCAGGCCAAAGCCTTTAAAGTAATCCTGCTTCTTTTTCTCACTATCATGTCTAAACCATCAGCAAACCTTGTTCACAGTATGTTCAAAATATAGCCTCAGTACAGCTACTCCTATCATTTATCACTAGTACTTTTGTCTAAGCTGGCACTTTACCTGGACTACCAGAGTAGCATTCCACCTAGACTCCCTGCTTGCACACTTGATGCCTGAAGTTTCTTTCCTACATAGCACTAAGTGACCCTTTTAAAACAATACAAATCATGTTATTCGCCTGCTCAACACCTTCCAATGACTTACTATCTCATTCTGAATAAAATACCAAATCCTTATTATGGCCAAGAAGGCCCCACAGGAACTGTCCCCCAGCTGTCTCTCTGACCTTATTCCTGCCACTCACTCACTGCACTCCAGCCAGCGTTCCTAAACCCACCAAAGATGCTCCTATCTCAGGACCTTTGTGTCTGCTAACCCCTCTACCTGAAATGTTCTTCTCCCAAGACTTTTACATAGTTCATAGTTCATTCTGTCATTTCCTCCAGGTGTGTGCTGCAATGACACTTCATTAGAAAGGCATTTCACAACCATGCTATCTACAATAGCAGCACCACAACCCATGGTAGGGGTCTTGCCCAAGCCCTTCATGCTGATGTATTATTACTTATAATGCTTATCACCACTTGACATTGTACACATTTATTTTCAATAGAATGTGAGCTCTGTGCAAGCAGAGACTGGGCTTTGTCTATTTCTTAAACCCTACCACTATAATAAATTCAGGTACATCATAAGCATTGGTTTGTGGTTGAGTAATTTTTAATGAAGACCTAGATGTTTAAGGATGAGTGACTGGGTTATGTGATATTTTCTCTCTTTCTCACTTCCCTTACTCTGTTATTTGGTGAAAAACTCTCAGTTGGTTCAATATCTATAATTTGGTGGCAGACAAGGAAATTGCCACTCTAGGACCTAGATTAAAAATGCTTGGTCTCTATATGCTCAGTCTTGGACACTGAAACATCCAAAGAAATTACCCATGAAGGCATTAGTTTTTTTTTTTTTTTTACAGCAGAGAATTCCTTGTCTCATAAAGAACTGGCTGGCTTTATTGGTAATTTCTGAAATCTTTGTTATTTCTGGGCACTTTGTCAATGGATGTTAGACCTGTTAGAGTAAATTGAATCCTTTTGCTGTTGAGCGATGTGCCTGAATAAGAGCAGCAATTGCAAATCCACCTGCTTTTGGAAATAAGAATGTGGTCTGGGATAGTTAGCAGGGATGCTTTTGAGATATTAAAAAGAGAGATACAGAAACCAGAACGTTAACTTTTTGAGCCTCACTGCCTATTCCTTCTCCAGGCCTGTATTCTCTGGGGGTGGTTAGCACATTTCCAAAGCATGGAAAGATGAAAGACAAGTAAGCAGAGGGAGGCATAAAAATATCATTTTTGAAAAAAGAGGAATTAAGTTAGGTAGTGATCACATATTCTTGGTGTTCTAAGTTTGATCTACCTATGAGGAGATAAAATTAATGGGACAAAGTGACATCTTACAGAATTAATGACAAACTTCCTCATAAACTCTATTTCTTCATATAGGAATCAGAGTGGCACAAATCTCCCCATTCCAGACTCTGGTATTTTACATTTGGAGATCTCCTTGGTTCAGGTGGACCCCTCACCTGGATGTAGAAACTTCATTTCCTTGTACTGTGGGAGGTGGCTCAGATGCCAAGCAAAGCTTATCCTCTCTAACAATTTCCTCCTCTTTGCAATGGGATAACTATAATTCCTACATAATTGGAAGCCTTGAGAAATTAAAAAATACCAAGATGACATTCCTTTATATTTGTTTCAAATTACAACGGAAAAAGATTCTGACATTTAAACAGATACAATATTTACTAAATCCTATCTGTTCTTCACTGTCTGCCATCTTCAGTTAAAGAGGTGACAAAATTCTGATGCAGGTCACTGGCATTTATATAAGCAAAAAGAACTGCATCAATGTCACTCAAGAAAACCTGCAGTGCCCTTCACCCCAAACTTCTTGTTTGTGGGAGCAAATTCTGATGCAGGTCACTGGCATTTATATAAGCAAAAAGAACTGCATCAATGTCACTCAAAAAAACCTGCAGTGCCCTTCACCCCAAACTTCTTGTTTGTGGGAGCCCACAAAAGACCTTCTTTTATATGAATAATGATCAATTTCTGCGTTACCCTCTGTTCTCAGAGCTCTCCATACTCAAGACTGGGCTAGGAAATTATCAATTGCTCTTAAAAGAGCTGACCTAATAAATAACTAGACTATATCTGGAAAAAAAGTAAGGGGTCCATCACTTTATGGCTAAACCCATATTTGTTTCTGGCTTGAACATTATGCTGACCTGGGTTACCACAAATGGCCACACAGACTGTGGGCTGCCCCTCTCCAGGGGTTATTTGCCCTGTTATCTGCTTTAGATATGAGGTAACCAATGATAAGTGAAATGACCATTACTTTACACTGTCATTTAATTTTTGCCCTTTGGTGAAGAAGCAAATTCATCCTACCTCCCAGAGCTTGGGATAAAAACAGGATGACAGTCAAAATTACATTATGTGCACTGAACAGCTGTTGGGAATATTAAGGCTTATAGTCTTGTTCAGGCTTCAGAGGCATTGCTAGGCCTCTGACCAAATAATGACCCTGCATAGGGTGTGTGTCAGACTCTCAGAAACTGTGTGCAGGCCCATGTAATAGGTGCTTAGTAACTGTCAGATAAGGAAAGTTAAGTCCTGGAGCTTCTTGGATCTTGGGAACCTGGCCAATTCCCAGGGCCAAAGAACATCCCGAAGACTTATGAGAAAAGATCCAAGCATTAATAAAATTACCACAGCTGCATGTTTGCATGCAGACTAATGTTATCAGTCTGCAGCTAGGTGATATAAGCAGGATTTCCTCAAACTGTTCTCTGAAGTATTACCCATGGAGTGGACACATTGCCCAGGACGATTCCAATTGGGACTCCAGATTGCTGTTCATGGGACTTCCCAGCACTGCTTGGATCTGGAGGTAGGTGTTTCCCCAATTTAGTGTTGTAAACACTAATTCTTTTTCTTCTTTATTTAATATGCCTGCATAACCTTGCTTTCCTTACTTGCTTATTGCTATATCTTAATAAATATCATAAACTGGCTTATCAGTGTGACGAGTAGTTTCTTTTACCAATGAATCCTTTGAACCTAAAGGAAAGTAAAAACTTTTGGCAAAACAATAGCTAGTCTGTGAGGCTTCTAGGAGCAGCCACAAGAAGCTATTAACTAAAGGAGGGATACTGAAATCTAAGACAACTGTTCTTTCCAGGGTACACATTAGGAGTTAAAAAAAAAATACTGAAGCCTAGTCCCATCCCCTAGGCCAATTGAATTAGTCTCTGAAGGTGGGACCTTGACAATAAAATTTTGTAGAGTTCCCTGGGTGTTATGGACTGAGTGTGTCCTCCCCAAATTCATGTTGAAAGCCTAATCTCCAATAAAATGGAATTAAGAGGTGGGGCTTTAGGGTAGTGATTAGGTCATGAGGGTGGAACTCTTATGAATGGGATTGGTGCCCTTACAAAAAAACATGAGACCAAGGTCAAAGGTTTGGATCCCCATGCCAGCCAGCTGCACGAAAAAAAAAAAAAAAAAAGACATGAGAGAGCTTGCTTTCTCTGTCTCTGCTCTCCACCATGTAAGGATACAAAGAGAAGACAGCTGTCTACAAACAAGAAGTGACCTCAGCAGACACCAGATCTGCTGGAATCTTGATCTTGGACTTCCCAGCCTCTAGAACTATGAGAAATATCTGCTGTTTAAGCCACCTAGTCTATAATTTGTTATAGCAGCCCAAACTAGGACACCAAGTGACTCCAATATACAACTATGGTTAAATACACTGGTTTAAGCTGTAGAAGTGGACCTCTGTAGTTGTAATAAACTCTTAGAATGTCAGAAACATACTAGAAGAGGAATAGGAAGTTTTAATACTTGTACTGAGTAAGGCTATAATATGCAACTGAATTATTAATTTGAAGGGGTTTTATAATTCTTTTTATTGGGAAGCAATTTCCTAAACAACTTAAGTATGTTAGAACAGGAGCATAATAGCTCCCCAGTCAAGTTACTGAAGCACAAATCTCATCTATTGGCAAAACATGCATAATCATACACACTCTAGATGTAACACAACAAAATGCTGATGTACAGTACCTATTTAAGAATATGCTGTGAATATACAAAACTGATTATAAAATTCCAAACTAACTTTTAAATCATCTATTCCAAATCCCTCCCTTCACAGAGGAAACTAAAGCTTAAAATAGTTGTTTTCCAATGTCACAAAGTTACTTAATAATGTAATTAGATTAGTTGAAACCAATGTACTTTCCATTCCATAGTACTGTGAAAAGTTAAAATATTTTAAGCAGTTTCTCAAGCCACTCTGATTCTTCAGTACTTAAAAAAGGATAAACTAAAGTAAATGTATCCCCTACATTTATGATGTTCCTAGAATAGTCAGATGCCAGGGTGTAATCTCTGATGTTTGTTGAGAGCAGAACGGTATCTGAAGGCTTTTCCACAATCATTGCATCCAAAAGGCTTCTCTCCTGAATGAATTCTCTGATGCTGAATGAGATAAGTGTTCTGGCTGAAAGTCTTCCTGCACTCATTACAGTTGTAAGGTTTCTCTCCAGTATGAGTATTCTGATGTTCAGTAAGATGAGTGCTCCGGCTAAAGGCTTTGTCACATTCATTGCACTTATAGGGCTTCTCTCCAGTGTGAATTCGTTGATGCTGAGTCAGATGGGAGCTCTGGCTAAAGGTTTTTTCACATTTATTACACTGGTAGGGTTTTTCTTCCGTGTGAGTTTTTTGATGTTGAGCAAGAGATGAACAATGTCGAAAGGCTTTGCCACACTCGGCACACTCATAAGGCTTTGCTCCTGTATGAATTCTTTTATGTTGTGTAAGGTGTATGTTCTGGTTGAATGCTCTCCCACATTCATTACACTTGTAAGGTCTTTCTCCAGTATGGATTTTCCTATGCTGAATAAGGGATGAGCCATAGCTGAAGGTTTTCCCACATTCATGACACTGATAGGGTTTCTCTCCAGTATGAATTCTTTCATGCTTAGCAAGAGATGAACTCCGAATAAAGGCTTTCCCACATTCCTTACACTCATAGGCCTTCTCTTGGGTATGAGTTTTCTGATGTTGATTAAGGTTTGAGAGGTAACTAAAAGCCTTTCCACATTCACTGCATTCAAAGGGCTTTTCTCTGGTGTGAATTCTCCGATGCTGAGTAAGGGAGGAGCAGTAACTGAAGGCCTTTCCACATTCATTGCATTTATAAGGTTTTTCCCCAGTATGAATTTTCAGATGTTGAGCAAGGGATGACCAGTAACTAAAAGATTTTCCACATTCTGCACAATCATAGGGTTTCTCCCCAGTATGAGTTTTTTGATGTTGAGTGAGGTTTGAGTGCTGGCTGAAGGCTTTCCCACATTCATTGCATTCATATGGTTTCTCACCAGTATGAATCATATGATGACGGATAAATGTGGAGGGCCCATTGAAGGCCTTCCCACATTCATTACATTTATAGGTTTTCTCCCCAGTGTGGATTTTTTGATGCTGAGTAAGGTGTGTGCTCCTGGTGAAGGTTTTATCACATTGCTCACATTTAAATGGTTTTTCTCCTGTATGAATTTTTTGATGTTCCATAAAGTGGCCTCTCTGGCTAAAGGCTTTTCCACAGTCATTACAGGTATATGGCTTCTCACCAGTATGAATTCTTTGATGCTGAACAAGATGGGTCCTCTGACTGAAGGCTTTCCCACATTCATCACATTTATAGGGTTTTTCTCCAGTGTGAATCCTTTGATGTTGAGTAAGAGATGGACCCTCAATGAAGCCTTTTCCACACTGATCACATTTATATGGTTTATCTCCGGTATGAATTCTTTGATGGTTTATAAGGTTTTCGCTCCTACTGAAGGCTTTTTCACATTCATTACATTTGTAGGGTTTTTCTCCAGTATGTGTTCTCTGATGGCGAATAAGAGCTGAACAATAACTAAAAGCTTTCCCACATTCATTGCACTTACATGATTTCTCTTTTTTAACTGGGTTTGAATTTTGTTTGACGCTTGTTTTAGTAGAGGTTTCTTCCGGAAATATATCTTTTTGTGTAACAAGGCTTGAACTCACATTAATGCTTTTCCCAAATTCATTATTTGCAGGGCCTCTTTCCCAAGTGGATATTGTCTTTTCAGTTATTTTTGTTTTCCTTGGCAGTGTCTGCTGGCTTGCCTGCTGCCTCTCTAGACTGCCTTCAGATTCCCAAGTTTCTAAGTTAGAAATCCAAGGACCATCCCTTTTGTGTTTTTCCACTATGGCCTCTGAAGATGGCTCTCTTCCAGAAATGTCTAGTTCTGGGGCTGACACACTATTTTCAGGTCTCGTCTCCCACTCTGAAAGTAAGAGAAAATACCAGTACTCTCTGAATAGAGCAAAAGAAAACTGCTGTTGGGGGTGTAATCTAATAAAACAAAAAATAAAGCACTCAGGTAATTCTGAGGGTTTTCAAATATATAACCCTATTATTTAAGGAATGAGTTGGAAGCAGCTAAGGAGAACAACAAATAAAATATGAAAGTGGCAAGAGAATGTCTAATCCAATTTCATAGATAATCTCTAAGAACCAGTAAGGGAACTCCATTTAAGGTGATAAGTTTATTAAAAAGGTGACCATACAATGGCTAAGAGTAGACAGAGATGGACTGAATCTGAAAAGTCATTCTGAACTGGGATTCCTTGCTAATGAACAACAAAACAAAAATCAGAGAACTACAAAGACAGGACAGACAGGAAAGACTTGGCTAAGAACCTATGGTTTTTAGCCTAGAACACTGAAGTTGTAATATTATTAGAAATGGGAGAGTTGTAAAAGTAGAGGAAATAATTTGAGTGTGGGATGATTTCTAGTCATTTTGAGAACTGGGAAAAGACATGAAGGGCTGGACTACAGTAGTGCTTGTGGGAGTGGGAGATGCCAAAAATAGCAGAATCACAAGGACGTTCAAATGTAGGATAGAAAAGAGCAGCTCAAAAGAGGAAAGAAAGGAATAGCTGAAATCATACGAATGTATGTCAGAAAAGAGCACAGGTAGGGGGAAGATCCTTAAGGGTGTTCAGGGTAATGGGAATAAAAAATATACACTAATGAAAGAAAGCAGTTCATCAGCAAACTCACAAAACAACACAAGAAACAAAAAGACAGGAAAGTACATAATCAGAAGTACTTTTGCCCAAGACAAGAGAAATGACAGCTAAAAGCAGGGTAGTCAATGCTGGCAGATTCTGTAAATAACAAAGGCTGTGTTTAAAACAGCATTTCTTCAGTTCCAAAGGTAACAGGAAGGTACAGTTGACCCCAGAGAACCCTGAATCCTTCATATGCTGCCAATCCAGTCACTATCACTACCACTATCACTGTAAGCATGAGCAGTGAGGCAGACCCCGGAGCTGCCTACCATCCCTTCCACACCTGACATAGCATATTATCAGTATAGGCAGCATTATAGCAGCAGAATTTCTCTAGCAGGAACAAGATCCATGCAACACAGGCTTTGGGATTGGCCAATTGTTTAAAAAATTAATGTGTTTTCATTATCAGGAATGACACCAAGGAAGATATGTCTGTACAGCAGATGGCCATGAAGAATACCTTCTGGAAGTACTTCACAGTAAAGGATATGGAAACCCTGGAGTCTGACGCTGTTAAAGGGAAAAGGGAATGAAGGTGGCTGATCTCTAACCCTGGTTAGAGTTTCAGCTGAAGGCAATGTGAAGCAGACCATGATCAAAGTTATCCACGATGTCATGTCTTCCACTCTATAACCAACAGAATTACCAGAATATCAGGAGTGGGCCAAAGAACAAAGGATTGCAGAAAGTTCCAGAAGTCCAGACTGAAAAACATCATCCCTAATGTAGAAAGCAATTCCACTTTACTACACACAAAGTCTAAGGGCATTAACCAATAATAGAGGGTGCTGACAACCAGGCTGCAAGAAAACAAGACGACGAGTGAGACAGATATAAGTCAGGGCTATAAATCACAATTCTGCAGAGGCCAGGTCACCAAGACAGCCTAGAGAAGATGGCAATACAGAAGATGAGGAAAATGATGGAGACCAGACCCAGGGCCAGTGGCCACCTCAACGTAGGCACTGCCACAACTTCAATTACCTGTGGAGATATCTACAAAACTGTAAATCATTTTTACAGAGACAAAAGCAGCCAACTCACCTGCTGAGAATAAATCTGTTCCAAATGCTGAAGAAGGCAGTACTCAGGGCTGATTTATCAAGACTACCGTCAGCAGGTCAAATTCCAGCAATAAAAAATAAAAGACTAGAACTAAATACCTCAAGTACTGGCCTTTCGTCTACTCACCAGGAAACTGGAACTATCTATATTATCTATGCAAAGTGGGACGTTTTATTATTTTTACCTAAAGAAATCTCTTTTTAGGAATGACTAAGTGTGTTTTGAAAAGCCTGTGTTTTTTCAATATACATGTAAATGTTTTAAAATTGTTTTCTGTTTGGTCAAGTTGGGATATTTTAAAACTTCATTTTAATTTGTAGTAAAACTTGACGACTTGCTTTTCCCAAATGTTAATAAAGTTCTTGTTTAAAAAATGTACAAGTTTTCTAAATTATATTCCATGAAACCATTGTCTAGGAGAAATATTTCAAAGATGTGATATATCAAAAAAAAGATTTGTGATTAAAGAGAGAGAGAGAGAAGTCAGGGGGAGAGAGGAAGAGGAGAAGAAATGTTACATTCTATGTAACTCATAATAATAATAAAAATAAGTTGGAAATGCATAATGCTTAACTGCCTATTAAAATAATCTGAGTAGTACTCCAGTAAGAAACTTGCAAAAATTTTAACTAATCCAGCATTTCCCAAATTTGAATACAGCACATAATTTTTTTCACCATAAAAAAGAACCTTCGCCTCTAACCACATTAACTCTGGAGTTGAACTCCTCACCTACAGTGACTACATTCATAATTTTTCAAGGGTCAGATCCCTGAAGAGGTTACTTTGTGCAGTTTAGAAACGAATAATTTAGAAGAAAGTTATTCATACTTCAAAGACACTATGATAAAGTGATAGAATCAGAAGCAATAAATGAGATTAACAAAGAAACAGGTGATAAAGAAATAAAGGCTGGACTGGCTGGTTAGCTCAGGTGGTTAGAGCATGGTAAGGACACCACCAAGGTCTGAGGTTTGATTTCTGAACCAGCCAACTGCCAAAAAAAAAAAAGAGAGGGAGAGAAATAAAGGCTGCAGGTATGAGGCTCACGTTTGTTGAATTTGGTTGGGATGGAAAAGAGAGACTAGATGGTGGCCAGAAAGATAAATAATGTTGAGGAAACGTATTTGTAAATATGTGTTATCTATTTCTGTTTGAAGGTACCTTAGATGGAGCCTATAGATCCAAAATAGAAATGTGTAAGGGCTGAAAAGTGAAGTGATAATTATGAGATCAGGGTCTCAAAGGAAGTGGGAAGAGATGGAATCCTAAGTCCAGGTCTAGAAATCGGCTTAAGAAAAGGGCAGGAAGGAAACCTTCTTTAAAAGGAGTATAAAAATAAAATATATACTGAGACAGTAAGTGACATGACAAAGCAGAAGAGAGTCTAGAACAGACAGTTTCCCATTTCTCCACAGGAGATAGTTTAAAAAGAGACGCGTGCATCTACACTCCAGACATAAAATCGTCTTTCCAGGCTGGCAGTTAGAGTTAGTGATGCTCATCTGCTGCTATCCATTACTTACCTCCAAAGGTACTTGCTGGAATGGCTGGCTCCATCCATGGCTCTGTTCCTTGCTCTAACTGGGAAATCACATCAGGTTTAGAAACTTGGAGTCCTGCTCATGGAGAAAAAATGAAAAGGAATCTGTCTGCAGTAAGGTAAAAAGTACCATATCAGAATTCAATCTCACCACTTTGTTTCTAGAGGAAAGAATATGTGGGACAAATCTGATAGGAGTGGGTAGTATATCATGTATCAAACTTCGGTGTTACAAATTCCCAGACATGGTGAGGATATAATTTGAAAACTGATCTGGATTCAGGAAAATTATTAGTTTATCCCTCTGCTTGCTAGGAGAGTAGAAACCTTTTTGGAAACTTTCAAAATTTAGAAATTGTTGGTTCCTAAACTTAAAGGCAAAACTCACCTAAGCATAAGAGAAAACCCTTCTCATCCGCACCCCCTGATATTAACTCAGTGAAGTCATCCTTACCTATAGAGACCAGATGTGTATAATTTTCTAATGTCACATCCCTGAACAAATCTCTCTGTACAGGATCCAGCTGTCTCCATTCTTCCTGGGTAAAGTCTACTATCACATCCTTGAAGGTCACTGATTCCTAAAATACCAAACATATTTCTGCTTAGCCATAGAGCACTTACCAAGGAAACAGGTAAAGTTAGCAATACTGACAGAAGGCAGGCTATAGGCTATTTGAAAAATGATCCTGACATTTTCTCCTTTGTTAAATGAACATCGGCATGTAAGTGCTCAGTAAATATCGGCCACTGTTGTTGTTCTTCATCACATTATCTGTGTGTTATAAGACATATCACATATTAGTAGCACAACTACTATCATCAATAATATTTTTACTACCTGCAATGTGCAATAGCCAAAGATTTTTTTGAAAGAATGGAGGAGTGGGGAGATTTGCCCTACTACAGAATATACTATGCAGAGGTTCCCTCTTAAGTACCAATCAGTGCATGGGTATGATGAGCCTACGTGAGGCCAGGGGAAAAATCATCCAAAAGGACTCAAGGGATCAGTACCAGCTCATAAAAAAGGCTGGAAATACAGTCTGTTCCCATCAGCCAAACTGGAAAACTTTGTAATTCATGAGGCATTGGGTAGAATACTTAGAATGATCCTGCTTCAGTAGTGGGGAATAAATGGACTTAGACTAAATGCTATTCTGAGGCCTACCTAATAAATCTTAAATGGCCTCAGGAATATTTTATAGAAATATAGAATATGTAGATTCATTGCATAAGGTAAAATTCAATGTGTGTCATCCAATCAAAGATTATCAGGCATGCAGTGAAGCAAGAAAATACAACCAATAATGAGGAGAAAAATCAATTGATTGACACTAACCTAGTACTGACACAAATACTAGAATTCACAGAAAAGAACATTAAAAGTTATTATGACTGTATTCTATATGTTCAAGAAGTTAGGCAGAGATATGGAAGACATTAAAAAAAAAGACCCAATGGAACTTGTAGAGCTGAAAATGAGATGAAAAATACACTACATACTATCAACAGCAGATTAGGAACTGAAGAGAAGATTAGTAACTTCAAAGACATAGGAACAGAAACTATCCAAAATGAAACAGATAGAGAAAAATAATTTTAAGATTAAGAGAGAGCATCAGAGAGAGAGCTATGGGACAACTCTGAGTGGCCCAATATATGTGTAGTTGGAGCCTCTGGAAGAAAGAAGGGGAGCAGAGCAGAAAAAATACTTGAAGAAATAATAGCTGATTATAATTTTTCATCAAGTTTAGAAAATAAACTCACAGATCCAAGAAACTCAATAAATTGCAAGCACAATAGACAAAAAGAAAAATTCACTGAGGTACATTGTAATCAAATAACTCAAACTCAGTGATAAAGAAAATCTTACATGCAGCCAGAGGAAAAGAAACAAATATAAGAGAACAAAGATTAAAATGACAGGAGTTATATTAAAAAAATATAACACAAAGTATTGTGGGATTTACAACAAAATAAATCAAATATATGAAACAGCATAAAACTGGGAGGGGAGAAATGGAAATACCCTATTGTAAGGTTTTTATACTATTCATGAAGTGGTATATCACTTGAAGGTAAGTGGTGATAAATTAAGTATGTGTACCGCACAGCAACTAAAATAACAGAGTGATGGCTAATAAGAACAAAGTATGTTCTCTGACTACGGATATGTTCGCTATCTCGGTTGTGGTGAGGATTAAGTAAGTATATAGATATGCCAAAACTTACCAAATCATACAATTTAAATATGTGCAGTTTATTGTCACAATATATGAGGGTACTTCAAAAAGTTCATGGAGGCTGGTCAGTTAGCTTAGTTGGTTAGTTAGAGCATGGTGCTGATAACACCAGGGACCAGGATTCAATCCCTGTACCAGCCAGCTGCCAAAAAAAGAAACCAAAACTAAACAAAATAAAAAGTTCATGGAAAGATCTGTATTACCTTTCAATTCTATTTTTCCACTACTTTTTGAAGTACCCTCACAACTCAATAAAAAATAAAGTGATACCAAAAGTACTTGAGCTGGAAGTAGGAAGAACTGGGACCACATCTGTGGTAAGATTAAGTTGTGGGAAAGGAAATAAGCAGGTAGGAAGTCTAAGAAGAAGAAAGAGCCTGATTAAAGGAGGTCTTGAGGTTGATTATGGCTGGTAGAGCAATTGTTACCTTTTTGTGCAAATTCTCAGTTACTGGTTTTTCCTAAAACATTACCAGATCACTTTTCCTCCATTAAAAACCATTAATGGTTCAAAAGTGGCCTACAGAATAAAGCCTTCAACTTCTCATCCATTCAAGACTTTTCATATTTTGATTTTATCCAACCATTTTTTTACCACTTGCCAAAATATTTCCTCCAATTTTTTTTGAATCCTGTGTAACACCTAATTTTTACTTGTCAACCTCTGCTTATAATCTTCTCCATACCTAACATCCCCCTCTCCTTACTTATCTAAATATCCAAATGTTACCCATCCTTTGAGAGATAGCACAAATGCCACATCCTCCATGAAACTCTCCTAATCCCTCCAGACCACATACATTTTTCCATTCTGATTTCCACAGTACTCATTTCACCTTTCTTCTATTTATCTGTTTTGTTTTTTAGAACTCATTTTGGTTTACTTAACATAAAGTAGTTCTTTTGCTCACCCATTCCTAAAACATGGCAAGACACTACATCTAAGTAAGAGGTAAGTGGTGAATGTATTAGTTTAAAGCTGGAGAGGTAGAGCTAGAAAAGAGATCACTGGGCAGATGAGTGCCCACAATGAACTGCCAATATTGGTTTTTGGAAGAATATACCTGACAGCAAAATGATACACAATACCGCTCTTAAACTGAAAAGGCATTTCAGGAAATCCCAACTTACCTGAAAACTGGCTGATGGGATGAGAGTATGTCCCAGTTGGAGAAGGGCAGAGTCTGGAGAGGATGGCTCTAGGGGAGGAAGAAGAAGCCATAATAAATTCTGTCCAACTTAGCTGCTCCCAGCAATCCATAAAGTCCACTTTCTTTTCTATTTAAAAATAACAGAAACTGTGCAATTTCCTTTACATTTCAGAATCCGAAAAAAGAAAAGATACAAAATAACTGCTAACTAGGGCCCCGGTACTCTCCTTGGTAGGCTCAGCAGGTAGAGCACTGCTTTAAGATTTAATTCTAGGGCCAGCCTGTGGCTCACTTAGGAGAGTGTGGTGCTGATAAGACCAAGGCCTCAGGTTTGGGTCCCTATATAGAGATGGCCGGTTAGCTCATTTTGGAGAGTTGTGGTGCTGACAGCACCAAGTCAAGGGTTAAGATTCCCTTACTGGTCATCTTTAAAAAAAAAAAAAAACGATTTAATTCTGTTTCTAGATAATTAATCATACAGATCATACAACTCAATCTATGTTCCTCATTAAGTGAGGTAAAATACTTGTATTTCTGCTGCCTTTTCTCTGCTACATATAAAATATGATGAAATAATCAGAGTACTTTCCAAAAGTCTTCATAGGCCTTTTGAAAACCTTCCTATTAATGCAAATTAAATATCACAATAACATATGCTACTTAGAGTACCCTCCAAGAGAATGTCTAAAATTAAACAAACATGGTCAATGCTAATTTCTAGCAAGAATACAGAACAATTGGAACTTTTGTACATTGTTGTGGGGGTGTAAATTTGTCAACCACTTGTGAAAACTGGCAGTGTATACCAAAGCTAAGCATATGTCTACCCTATGACCCAGCAATTCCACTCTTGTGCACATATACCCATAAATTCTTATAACAATGTTCATAGCAGGTTTATTCATAATATCCCCAATCCGGAAACAAACCAAATGTCTTTCAACAAAAGAATATATAAATAAACTGCAGTATATTCATAAAATGGAACATTATTCTAAAATATATAAGAGCTTCTAATATAACTAACAACCTGAATACATCTCATAAATGTAACCTTGAGCAAAATAACACAAACACAGAAGAATACGTACTATATGACTACATTTATATTAAGTTCAAAAACAGGCCCAACTGATATATGGTGATGGAAGTTAGAATAATGGTCACCTCTAGAGGGACTACTGACTGGGCAGAGGGAAAAAACAGACTTCTGGGGCATTAGGAACATTCTATATCTTGGCATGGGTGTTGATTACATTAGCATCTACATATATAAAAATTCATCAAGATGTGTTTGGTATACTTAATATTTGTACACTTTATGTAACATACCTCCATAAACAAAATGAAAACAAACGTTGCACCTGGGGAGGTCTATTCAGAGTACTGGTTGACAGCAAACCCCGATTTTCATAACAACTCCTCTGGTAACTGATTATGTATAATTATGCAAGTCCCTTGTCTTCTCTAGGCTTCAATTTCCTCATATTTAAAATAGTAGAGACAGGGCTGGCCAGTTAGCTCAGTTGGTTAGACTATGGTGCTGATAACACCAAGGTCCAGGGTTCGATCCCTGTACCAGCCTGCTGCCAATAAATAAATAAATAAATAAAATCACGGGGACAAATGTCTGAAAAACACCTTTCAAAATTCTCTTGAGGAAAAGATAATGGTGGGGAAAACCAAACTAGATATAACTGTCTCCACAAAGACGTAGGTAAAAAAAATTTTCTCCCCTTTGAAGTTTAATGTATGCAGAAAGATTAGCAGGAGAGGATGTCTTTAGACACAAAATGTGAATTAGAGACATAAAATATGAAATAGAAAGAATAACAATGCTGTAAAAGATGTTTGATGCAAACCAAGAAAAAAACAAAATGAAACAGGTAAGGGTCGAGAAAGACATTTATATCACAAATACAAAGGTATGAGATGCGGCAATAAGCCAACTGCATTTATACCTGAACAAGGAAAGAGAAACACAATCTTTTAGGTATTACCAAGGCATGCTGGGATGGAAGTCATAACTGGAATAAGACCCACAAACTATATGATGTTTTAAGAAACCCAAAAAAACTAAGAAAGGATTAAATATAAGGACATTGGGGAATGTGAAGAATAAAAAGAAAAGCAAAACAGTCAAATGGACAGGACCCAAGTCATTTCAGGGGATCCAGGTTGCACCACTAAGGTGCCAGGACTGTTTCTTTGGGATACCATCATCAGGGTGGGTCAGTGCCATCTGATTTTGATCCAAAGATTCAAATTGCAGAGAGATCCCACTGGCCTAGTGTAGGTTTCAAGCCTTGGTTAGAACAGGGCCGGGTAAAATTTACTCGAAATGATCTGATAGAAACAAATGGACTAACTGTATGCAAGGCAATAATCCTGAGTGTGAAACCTGATAGAAACTATAGATAAATCAAAAAGGAGAGAAAAAACAGAAGCAGCACCATGCTGACAGCAGCATGACACAAACAGCTTAGACAAGTTGGGGTGATGGATAATATGGAGGAAAGCTAGGTGATTTCAACTGGATAGGTATGGAAGTTTCATTTTGTAAAACAATGTGTTAATCAAGAAATTCCTGATTTATCTTAATACTGTCATGCCTCAGAAAGTAGAGGAAACGGTAAAGGGAACTATTATCCTCAACTTAATTTTGACCAGTAAGGAAAAATTGTTTTGTAACAGAAATCTTGAGGAAAAAATGAAGACGTTATCTTGGAGCTTTTAACAGTGAAAGGAAATGTTGTTCATGGACAGATAGGTACCGAATACTTTAGGAAAACAGAAGAGAAATGTATCAGGTAGGATGCTTTTGATTCCAAGTAATAGGAACCAACAATAGCAACAGTTACAGAAACTAACTGTGCCTGGCACATAGTAAATGCTCAGTAAGTGTTACAAATACTATCACAATTACAAGGGACAGAGGCTCAGGAAAGGTAATCCTAACCATACAATTGTGAAAAATCTCAAAGAAAAACAAAGACTTTTAATGAAACCATTTTGGCCAATTTAATTCTGAGAAACTTAGAATTTAAAAGAACATTATAAAAAGATATAAGGGGAGAAAAATTGAGGACAAATATAAGGTATAGCTCAAACCTACATGAACAATATGAATAATATTAAGACTTTTAATGATATCATTTTTAACAAATGCAAGAAAAAGGACTGCATGATAGTAGTTAGGTTAAACCAACCTGATTACATAGCCATACCTAAAGAATGTAAAGACAATGATGAAACAGAGGGAAGTCTATAGTGACATGTCACAAGGCTTTGTCCTTACCCTGACCTGTACAATGACATGTAGGAAGAAATAGAAGGAATACTCATCAAATATGCTAGTGACAAAGTTGGAAAGGACAAATAAAACACTGAATAAATAAGATTCATAATTATTCTGTCAAGCCAAAAAACTGAACAATCTTAACTGTGAAGTTCTGATTTAATAGGATAAGGACAATTAATTCTTAATAGGATAATAACAATTCCATTACACAAGACGGCATAAATCTTAATTCATTGCAATTTATGCAGAAAAGGATCCAGGGTTACAATATACATAATATCGCTGATTTTTTTGAAAGCAAATACAATCTAATGTCAAATAGCAAAAGTAAAATCCAAATCAAAAGAAGTACTATATCATACTTTCAGGTATTTTTCAAATCACATCTAAAGAACTAGATTTAGTATTACGCACTGCATTTTAAGAACAATGCTGACAAGCAGGAGAGTTTTCAGAGAAGGGGTCTAGATATATCACACTGACCTATCAAAGGAACTGAGGTTATATTGTTTAGAATGGACTTTGTGGGAAGTTGTAACAGCTTAGTTGACATCTAAATGGCAGCAATGTGAATAAAAGAGCAGACACTCTCTTTTGCTTTTAGTGACTAAGAACTAAGATTAACACAGAAGTTATAAGGACAGGCACTTCTGTCGAACATTAAGGAACCATAAAAGAAGAGCCAACGAGGGAATAGTCTGTACCCAAAATGACGAGTTTAAGGCCAAACTTGTTCTGGCATAGGCTTGATAGACAGCTATCTGCCAAGGATATTTCAAAACTGATTCTTGCATTGAAGTGATGATTACCAAGATTTTTTCTGATTACAAGATTACCGTTTTAATATTTATTAAAAAGAAGACATATGGGGATCACAGATATTCTGAATCATTGCCCCTTTCATTCCCAAATCCGGAAGCCAGGAAAAATTAACTCTTCCCCCAAGTCTCTCCCTATAAGGTAAATAAGAGTCTCTTACAATGTAATTCGGTTTCTGGTCTGTAAATATACTGTTCCCTCCTTCCCGGCTGTCCTCAAGTATTTGATCCTCCAGACTGTTCTCTAGCTCCCATCACCCTGCTCTCCCCCGAGTTGTCCCGACTACCTTCCATCTTAGGAGCTCATCCTGTTCCTCTGGACCTTGGGCACCAGGGTTCCTCAGGCAGTGTCCCTCCAGCTGGTGGCACCTCGGTCTGGTACTCAGATGCCCAGCTCCCCTTGCAAGGAGTCTGAACCCTTACACACACGCTGAGGTTGTCTGCCCTAAAAGACACAGGAAGGAGTCAGCAGCATATGTCACACAATCACACCTCAGAGTCATGCAGAGTGACAAGAGGTCCTGCACAAGAAGAGAAGGGCCTCAAGAGAGCACTAGAGAAGCACATGGCCCTCCCGATGAACAAAACCAGAGTGGAGATTAGTACGCAGGTTCAGCCTCAAATCCCAAACCCCCTTGGTGCCCACCCTAGGCTCTGGCCAGGGGCGCACACAGACACGGCCCGTTCTCTCCGTGCACACTCGCGGCTCATAACCCCTGCTCAGACCTTCGCGGCCTCAGATACACACTTGTTGCGGAGCTTGTTAAAGCTGAAAGGTGGAGGAGCAGGGTGGGGCCCGGTACCCGACTTCCCCTTAGGCCGGAACAAAAGAACAAAGCCCTCCAAGTGATCAGGGCGGGAGCGCTCCCGCACGAAGGAGGCGAGGTGCGCCCCCTCCTAGGACTCCCCAGCTTCCTCCCGCAGAGGCCGTTACACGCAAAGCCAGAAGGGTGACGTCACGCTGGCAGTTGCCATGGTGATACCTGGCCTCCCCTTCCCCTGAAGCGATCTTCACTTTCCGATCCCGGGTCCGGAAGTGCAGAGACTGTCACCAGACCTACCACAGGGAGCCAGAAAGGCAGGTCTGTCCGACCGCCAACGTCTTTTCACGCCTACAGCCCCCTTCAACGGTCACTTCCGGTCGCGCAGAGAGAGTCCCGCCCCGCCCCCAGCTGCGTTAGACGACAACCGGCGCGCACACGGACTACGACTCCCAGAAGGCTCCACGACGATGTTTCTGAACTACACGTACCAGAGGCTTCAGCCAACGAGTGTGTTCACACGGAGCGGGGGCGGCCGTTCTTCCTGCCAGTCTTTTGCCCTCGACTCTTTCGGGTATGGTGTGCGTTAGAGCGTTGACTAGCAGACTTGTCTGATTGCGAGAAATACACATTTACTGACTGTGAGAAATACACATTTATACACATGTAATTTTAAAACACAGTTGATTCTCTATGCAATACTTACCTTTATTATCTGTCCTATACTCTATTTTGTGTTCTATTCCTTTGTCCTTTTAAAAATACTGGTCGTTATCCATTAAAATTGTTTTCATGACTCTCCAATGGGTCGCGACTCACATTTTAAAAAATGCTAAAGGTGGGTCTGTCGGTTAACTGAGGAGAGCGTGGTGCTGATAACACCCTCTAGGGTTCGGATCCACCCCCTCCCCCCCAAAAAAAGAAAAAATGCTGAGGGAAACCTGGAGGTGGTGTTAGTGTGTTCTAGCCCTTAGTAGCGCATTGTACATGCCTACGTCAGCCAGCACATATCAGCTAGTGGAGCCCACGGCCAGCCTGTCGGTATGACCTTGGCAGAAAAGAATCCAGCAAGTTGGTAGGTTTTTATACTTGTAAAGAGGTGTGGCCCACGCACTTTACTGTGCTTCCGTGCGTCCCCAGCATTTTGGTAGAGGGGCTAAGGTCAAGTCTCCCAGCCAGTTGGTTGACAAAACACTAAACCTGGAAATCCTTACACTGAATATGTGAAAAAGTTACAGTCAAGGGAAAGGGAACAATATTCAGAAGTCTCTATGAACTGACTTCAGAAAAGAACTACTGCAGGAACTGGAAAAGAATTTCAAGAAACAATTTAGTATTTTCAATAGAGTACAAGAAGACATGACATGAATGGAACAGGAAAGAATGCTGTGAGAGCTGTAATAAAAAGACACGATGAAAAGGGATAAAAACATATAGCAAACATTTAAAATACCAACATAAAGTCATACTGGAGGAGAGCTGAACTGATGCTGTGGAAGTGAATCATTTATGTATAGGATAGTTTTTTAAAGCTTCTCCCTGATTCAAAAGAAAAAGATGAGTAAGAGAAAAGGATAAATATCAAGGACAGAGGATAGAAAGCCAACATTTGGGTAACTGGCTATCACAAAAGAGAGACGAGATGAAACTAGCTGTCATTTAACACTTTCTATGTATCAGGCAGTGTTCTAAGTGCTTTACATCTATTAACTTATTTAATTTTTTAAATAATCTAATAAAGTTCCTTCTCTGTTATTATTCCTACTTTACAACAAAGGAAACTGAGGAACAGATAGGTTGAGTAAGGTGCTCAAGGTCACATGGCCTGTACATAGGGAAGGTGGGACTTCAATTTTAGTAATCTTATCCCAAGCACTCACTCTTAATCTCTAAAATAGACTTCCTAGTAAAGAGATGAAAATTCTCTTAAGTTTTAAAATACACTTGCATATTAAAACATTTCATAATTGTATAGTATTTTATTTTATTTATTTATTTTTTATTATTTTTTTTTTTCAAAGATGACCGGTAAGGGGATCTTAACCCTTGACTTGGTGGTGTCAGCACCACGCTCAGCCAGTGAGCGAACCAGCCATCCCTATATGAGATCCGAACCCGGGGCCTTGGTGTTATCAGCACCGCACTCTCCCGAGTGAGCCACGGGCCGGCCCTGTATAGTATTTTATAGTTTATAAAATACTTTCATATACATAACTTTATTTAATTTAAGGCAATGACATTTTACCACTAGAAACACTAAACTACCATGTCTCTCCCGAATGAAAAATAAAATATAGCCATTATTACAATATTGCCATAGTTCAATTTCTTCAATGAGCACTTAAATTAAGAATGAATAGGGCTTAAAATAAGGGATTATCATATATCAGAATTCAGGTTTTTTTTAATTGAAGGAAGAAAATACTAGAAAATATTTCCCCAGATGGCTTAGAAAGAGAGAATTCTCAATTAAGTTCCAAATTTACTTAACAGTGTGGAAAAGTAGCTGCAATGCTGATTCTTGTAAATGATTGTGGCTATAAAAAATGGCAAAATATTTTAGATGAACCAAGTAAAATTTCCTAGTATGTAATTAAAATTGAAACTGAAGAGATCTAAAAGAAGCATTACTTGCTAAGAACCATGAGATTTGCATTAAACATGATTTACTCCACACATCCCAACAGTGGAGAGAACAGAACATTTAGGGTGTGCTCAGCAATGTTAGAGGGAGTGTTGGAAAGGCCTCTGTGGTGCTAGAGTAGGGTTACATTTTCTCTAACTTGAACAGAGTGTCTTCAAATGAATTTATAAAATATTATGTGCTAAAGGCCAAACAAAATTTTATAACCAGAATATAATTGTCATTTGTACTTAAACATTGATGTCACAATTTTATAACCAAAATACAATTGTCATTTGTACTTTAAAAAAAAACACTTCATAATGTTCCAGAGAGAAGGAGAGAGGAAGAGAGACACCTAGACATAAACTAGCAAAGAACAAAGGAGGACAAAAAGTCCTGAAAACAACCAAGGAAAAAATAAACAAAAATATAATTATGAAAGATCAAAAGTGAAGGTGTTTTGTTCCTTTTTGCAACACTATAAGCTAAGAAATAATGGAATAATAACTACAGAATTTGAGAGGAAATGTCTGTGACCCAAGAATTTTATATAAGCCAAGTTATCTTCCATAAATAAAGGCCTCAGAAATAAATTATAGAATTGAAAAAGTTTTAGATAACACTTGTTCAAATTCCTTCATTTGACCAATACAACTGTTTGAAGTAATTTGTTATGGCGGCCATAGGAAATCAACACAGATTTTAGTACTGGGGAGGGAGGTGCTTATGTAACAAATACCTAAAAATGTGGAAGTGATTTTGGAATTTGGTAATGAGTAGAGGCTGGAAGAATTTTGAGATACATAATTTCAAAAAGCCTAGATTGTCTTGAAAAGATGGTTGGTACAGACATGGACATTAAAGACAATTCTGTTGAGGGTTCAGATGGAAGTGAGGAACATGGTAGAGAAAGCTTCAGTCACCTCAGAGAATATACATATTTGTATTGTCATGAACAGAACATTGGTAAAAAAAAAAAAAAATGAATGTTTAAAAGAATGAAAAGACAAGCCACAGATTAGAAGAAAATATCTGTGAAATACATATCTGATAAAAAACTGGTATCCAAAATATATAAAGAACTCCTACAACTCAGCAATAAGAAAACAAACCAATTAAAAAACAGGCCAAAGACCTTAATAGACACCTCACCAAAGAAGATATACAGATGGCAAATAAGCATATGAAAAGATGCTCTACATCCTATGTCATCAAGGAAGTGCAAATTAAAACAATAATAAGATACCACTACACACCTATCAAAATGGCCAAAATTCAGAACACTGACAATAACAAATGCTGACAAGAATGTGGAGCAACAGGGACTCGTATTCATTGCTGATGGGAATGCAAAATGGTACAGTAACTTTGTAGGACAGTTTGGCAATTTCTTATAAAACTAAACATATTCTTACCATAGGATCCAGCATTTGAGCTCCTTGGTATTTATCCAAAGAAGTTGAAAACTTATGTCCACACAAAACCTGATGACAAATGTTTATAGCAGCTTTATTCATAATTGCTAAAACTTAGAATTAACCAAGATGTCCTTCAGTATATGAATGGATAAACAAACTGTGGTATATCCAGACAATAGAACATTATTAGGCAATGTAAAACGAGCTATTAAGCTAAAAAAAAAAAAACCATGAAGAAAACTTAAATGCATATTGTTGAGTGAAATAAGTCAATCTGATAAAGGATACATACTGTATGATTCCACCTGTATAAAAATTGAGAAAAGGCAAAACTACGGAGACAGAAAAGATCAGTGTATGCCAGGGGTTTGGGGGAGGGAGGGAGAGATGAATAGATGAAGTATAGGGGATTTTTAGAGCACTGAAACAATTCTGTATGATACTTTAATGATGGATACATGTCATTATACATTTGTCAAAACCAATAAGAATGTACAGCACTAAAAGTGACTATGGTTTTAGTTAATTTATCAATATTGGTTCATCAGTTGTAACAAAAGTACTGCACTAATGCAAAGTGTTAATAATAGGGAAAACTTGGGGAAAAGGAAGGAGAGAGGGAGTATATCTGAACTCTCCGTACTTTCCATTCAATTTTTTCTGTAAACCTAAAACTGTTTAAAAAATGGCCCATTAATTAAAAATATATGAATATTAGAGGTGTTTCTGCTAAGGTCACAGAATGAAATGGACACGTAATTAGAAACTGAAAAAATTATGATCTTTGTTATAAAGTGGCAGAGACTTGGCTGAATTGTGTTCAACATTTGGGTGGGAAACAGAACTTATAAGTGGTGAACCTGAATATTTAGCTAAGGAAATTTCCAAGTAAAGTGTGGAATGTGCAGCCTGGTTTTGAGGCTGAACAAGCCCTTAAAAAATTAGATGGAAAATGCCATAGTCCCTGAGTCTCTGACCTTCAGTTAGTATATAATATAATAGCTAGTGATTGTAAGTGATTATCTTTTAGTATAAAAGGCAAAGGTTGGAAAGTTTCACCAGGTATAAAGTAACAATAACAATAGATTTGAATCAGTGTCCTCCTTTGGGAGGGATATAGATAATATCACTGACACATGTCCCTGAGTTGTTTTCCAGAAACCAAGACTTCCTCCAGAGAAGACTCATGACTACCAGCTGACCATCTGAACATAGCCCCCAGACTGAATGGCAGATCCCAAGAATAACTTGTTGATTGCAGGACTGGCACTCCATCAGCACTTTCCACAAGCTGATCGTACACCAAGGCCCTTTGTATTAG